CCTGGTGTTCAAATTGTTGCTGGTGAGAGCCCCGTCGATTTGGAATACGCAGATGACACGGCTTTTATCTTTGCAGACCAAAGCGAAGCGCAAACCTTGTTGAATAGACTATCTTTTGGCATGCGCCTTGCACCTTCAAAGTGCAAAGTCATGCTTCTGACCATCTGCGGACATATCCTTTACAGTTCAAGGAGAGTCACTTGAGACTGTGCCGCAGTTTGGAAAGATCAAAGTATATAGTTTCCCGGAGAGTACGAGAACGACCATTGCATATGCGACATATATATGCGCGTTTATGAGGCACCGACTGTATCCGAAACAAATCTGCCGGTTAACAATGGCTGATCCGCTGAATGCCTGCACACTGAAAGTAAACCACAAGCGGTTTCCGCACGGAAACAAATACTACACAAAAACTGTTGATGCTGGTGTGAACTCGTGGCAACAAACAAGCATATGCCTGTTGAGATACACCATCCGGCTTGAGCATGGTGGTGCAGCAGTGAACAACAGTATTAGCTGGTGTCTCCGTCTGGAGTCTCCGTCACTTCCAACTTTCAGAAAGATATCGCATTTCCGGACATACTGTCGTAATAATGCTTGCTAGGAAATGTCCATTAACGAGCCAGTTAGGTGGGAATGGTAACAAACCAAACAGCTACTGATACAAACACCACACAGCATGCAGCAGCAAGCTGACTCATAAATACGACTTCATTCCAGGCACATCCACCTGCAAACTGAACATATCCATGTGACCATGGTTGTGCTGAAGATTGTACGGCCACCTAGTACGACTCGCTTGAATTTGTGGATCAAGATGGGCAAGACCACAAATCTTTCCCAACTTGAGCGAGCGGAAACTTACCAGGCCTATCTATCACGTGACGGACTTCCTCATGGCTTGAAACCAAGTGTACAAGCATTCACATCTAACTTATTGATGTCGGAGTAGCGGAATTTCTAAGTCCTCAGGTTCGGGCTTAATCCACCAACTGACCGCAAAGGAGTTACCTGAAGATACGGTTGTCGGACGATTGTTTTACGTGACCGATGAAGCATAGCCGGTTATGCATCGATGCGCTCGCTGATTTCTCGCTTTCGACTGCGCACATCTAACGCACATCACTGTAGCAGGCTGTGTATGGGTCCACGTGGATTTACACCATTGGGTGTAGGGGTTCTCACTTCTGGACTCTCCTCTTACTAGTCCACCGTCGGATGTAAATTCACAGCAGAGCGAAATCGCCACGTCATGGCACAGTGCCGGAAGTCTTCCCTGCGACGCGGCACTGCCACATCCATTCAAACACCAGGTATCAGACAGAACAGTGGCACTGCTTGAATCCTGGAAAAATGTTCTTGCCGGTTCCAAAAATAATTTGTTCAGTCCAATCACCAGACGTCAAGTGAAGCCTAGCAAGCTCACCGGCCGTGAAGCCTGGTGGACACGGAAGGTTGAGAAAAGGGAAGGGATAAAGGAAGTCTAGAAAGTCTGGCGAAAATTTAGGTTGGTCCATGCAACCTGTGAGCGCAGCCACTAAAGATCGTTGATCAAGCAAGTCTGGTGACCATCTACTACCCCTCAGTCTTACTCAGCACGACTTTACACCCATACCACCCTGCCCGATATGCGAATAGACCGCTCAGTCACTAGTGTACAGTGACCCGTCTTCCGGTGGAAGATCTGGTTATATCTAGTATGACTCAGCTTGAATCCTGTAGGAATCCTCAAGTCCGCTCAGTGTAGTCGGATTGTAGAGGAGGGTTTCTATTTGTCAGAGAATAGCATTCTGACAGTTTTGGAGGCTTCAGAGTGACTGCACTCTGAAACTCCCGTCTTGAGAGCCAAGTAAGTGAGCAGTCACTTTTCACAGAAATTGCACGCGGGTGTCGTGGTGTTTACACGTGGCATTCTATAGGGCCATATGGCTACCGACACTGGAACACTGGATGACAGAATGATTTCCACGTGCAGCCCACGCGGCGGTACACGAAGGGGATTAGAATGCAGCAGCTTTCTAAAACCAAACGAAATGGCGGTGTTTAGGTTACTGGAGACGTTGAAAAGATTTGAACCAGTCCGCTGCTGGGTGAACGATCGTCCCTTTTTTAACTTTCATTACGCCTACCAATCTCCGCTCTGATTTCACTCGCCATCTGAACAGTTTTGCTTTTGCTCGTTTCAGCTGTCGACTGACTTTGGCCTGTCCGTTCCTTCTATTGCAGTTCCATTTATTCAGGTTTCCAGCTGGCGACACCTGATACAGTCTGGAATAGGTCACATCTACAGGAGCTCCATTCAAAATGTTCAGGCTCATATCTCAGTTGGATTTGAAGTAAGTGTGGTCCGCATGAGGACCCTACAGATAGCAGAAGGCATGAGTTAACATGTTTGCCTCTGAAATAACGGTCGTGCCTCAGCCTAGTACTCGGTCTAACTCTCCTAAATTGCATTTTTAACTGACGAACAAGAAACAGCACAGAATGTACTAAACACTCGAGCCGGGTCACGAAACCGCGTGTAGCGGGCCATAATTCAAGTATATTGTAACAACTACAACTGGCCCAACGCTCCCAACCGGTATCTGGCGCGTACTGGAGCGTGAATGGCTAATGTGCCCACGCTTTCGACCAATCAGAGCTCAGCAACTGGCTGGACCGGGCCACCTCTACAGTATTCGACCAACGAAATCGGTTTCTCAAAAACGACGGCGTTTTGAAGGTTACCATATCCTAGCTAGGAATGCCTAAGTCTAAAAGGTTATCAGTGCGGGTGATTTGTTTACGTGAGTAAATATTCGCGGTTCTCTTTTACGTCGGATTGGAAAGAGGCGCATAATTTTGATAGGATATCGTGACTTGAGATAAAAAGTGGAATCAGTAGGCAGTTCTGAAGCTGTGATAATGTATGGAGCCTGCTAGAGTCAACATTGTAGTGGTGGACGCAAAATACGTTCCACTCCTGCAAATAAATTTCATGGATTCACGGACTGATACACAGGATTGAAGTTTACCCCCAAGTTTCCAGGGTCGGTTTTGTTCTTGTCGTTCTGTAGCTGTTGCTCACCTGGATGCCGCAAGCAAAAATTGGTGTAGCGCTGCTCTTTAAGAGCTCAATGTGGGGCAGTAAGGTTGTCAGCGCGAGGACCCCCATAAGAAGGCATCCAGTAGTGTTTTGAAGTGAGCACTAGATGTAACGTAGACAACCATCGGGGAAGGGATACCCCGTTCAGAAACTCTCCGAAATAATATCAAATTTTGCTAGTAAAAGTGCACGCTGTCAGCTTTAAAAACTTCCTACCATGTCCCCGCTGCATGTCAGCTGGCTCGACGATAAAAACCTGTCGGCCAAACCTTGTTTAGACAGGGCATAAGTAAGAATTAAGTCTCCTCGGAAGTGACAATACTCCGGGAAAAGATATCAAGCACCGTGAGACGCACTTCATGGTTCACGGATTTAAGGCCGGCAACCATTTTCGTAACAGCTGGTAGGACACGCCCAATTAAGATCACGTCCTTCTTGCGTCCTTAGTAGAAAAATTCGTTGACGTTCAGGAATCGGTCCGATATGGGCTTCGTACAGTATTTGGAAGTCCATGCGGGTAATAGAGGAGAATCATGCGTACAACTGCGAATGCCCTTTAGCACATTTCTTCCTTTGCAGTGTAAAGGACATGTTTTAAGAGAGCCAGATATGCAACTCCTTTTGACACCCGTCCATCTTCTGGTCCACTTTCGCCATTCACGGCAAAGGTGTTCACCAAGTCCACATGGACGCACTTTTTGTCATTCAGAGGAAAGTGCCAGTCAAAACACGGTGCTTTGCAGCGTCTACATCTGTTATGAGGGTACCGCCATTCGAACTCCAGGATTTCAACTCGTCTGCAAAATTTGACATAGAGTTACGGGAACATCTGGAAGGTCATTCACAAATGTCAGAAGCAGCAGTCGTCCCAAAACGGAGTACAGAGGAACTTCAATGGAGACGGGCGCCGCAGGAGGGTAGGTCGAGCCTACATTCAACCCGAATGTTCTGTCTGAGAGGAACGCCTTGATCCAGTGTAGAATTTTCCAGTGAATCCCAGAAGACTCTAGTCTGTGTGTCGTGTGATACCCCATCAGTTACAGACTGAGGGGCACCTTCGTCCATTGGCCGAGGAAACATCGGGTAGAACTGCTATGCGAGTGTTAACGACGCTTCCTTCAGGACTCCATCAGGCCACAACGCGCAAAACGGGTTTGTCTTGTGCAAGGGTAGAAGAATATTCCTCTCCGTGAGGAGCAAGTCGGTCATAGACCGTTCGTAGTTGAGCTTTGGCGAGATTGGGTGTGACGAGGTCGCTCGGGGAGAATGCATATCTGCACAGTATTTCCTGTAGATTTTAGATACCACTGTTGAGTCCTTGTGGGTCACCCGTTGCTGTCACACGATGAGGACGCGATTGGCTCATTTCAGGAGTGATATCTCATCTACCTAAATGACACATTATTTTTTTCAGGCAAAGTCTAGCATCGTGACTTGTTTCCGTATGTTTCGTTTTCCGATTTCTGATTTCGGGTCCCGGATCACGCAAGATGCTGGCTGATCTCCCGTGTCTCTCTATTTATCCTTCTGTATAATCGTTGAGACTTCCTTTTCAAAAGAGACAACACTTTTGGGCAGCTTCTGGTTCTTTCGACTACGCGCTGAGCTCCATGAAACGGACACTGCAAATGCTTTGTGAATTTCCTGGGCAATCCTGCTGTGTCCTCTCCATTGAAGCTTATCAAAGTTTAGTCTGCTCAAGAAAGATATGCATTACTGAAAAGTTCATACCGTGGAACTCCCAACTCCACGTTTGTGTTTCCGGGTTCCAAGCTTAGTTAAGGATGAAATCAAAAGACAGCAAAGGGTTATCACTAAAGCTTGATTGACGAAATGCCTTTCGTTAGTGATAAACAGGTTCAATGGTCATGGTAATTGGTGTGCGCTGTAACGGGTAGGTGCATCAACTTACTGAGTCATAGCATTCTGTTGAGCATCTCTATTCAGCGAAGATGCAAGATGCTCTCTAGATTGGATGAGGTGTAACTCCATCTTGGAGGCCTTGGAACAGATGATACCGCCTACCAGCTACCAGATGTACAAGAGTTGTTTGCTGCCCGTCTTGTAGCCTTTGCCTCCAAAGCCATGACCGACGACTGGATCATAATCAACCTGACCACGAACTAATACCAGAAATCCCTAATTTTAATGCTCGCGACGATCGCCAGAAGGAAACTGAAGCCGAATTCACATAAACCATGAAACTTCAAGGTTGATAGCTTTATTGGGAGTAAGTCTGGTCCGGCTGTACCGCTCAGCTGTATACTGCTTCAGCTTTTTTAAAAGAGCGGACTTTGAAGGTCACCAAGCACAGGCGATTTCCATGTAGCTACCGTAACATAACTGACTCCAAACCATGCCTGCTAAGACGTTAATCACATGACTTAATATGTACTTCTCTTTCTTCCTCCTCCGATTAGTCACCGCGAGACCCACATGGAAAGCTGTAGCCCGATTTTACGTCCTGCCGTTTGACCTTGACCTATTTTCCCACCTTACGTGACCTGTACCCGTTGTTTGCTTTCAATACACACACGTTGTTGCCCCAAATCAGGTCTTCTATTCTGCGTCACATAACCTGTGCAGCTGTGTGCTTTGTGCGTTTTGTGGCTCCCGTATTATCAGTTCCCATATCTGCTCATTTCCGAACTGGTATGTGCCATCACTTCAACCTTGTAAACCTCGAGTGCCGCTGAACTGCTGACATCCACGCTGCAATATCTTTTCACTAATAGACCATAAAACCACACATATGCGCGCTTCCCCGGTCCACGGTGTTCAGCAATCAATTTGAGTTGATTCCAATTCCAAAGCCCATTCCGTTGGATGCATTATAAGATTTGGCCCCGGTATAACAAATTAGATGAATGGGTTCACAAATTTTCGACACTGTTTAGAAGGCTCGCCTCCCTTCGATTGTAATAAATTAAAGATTATCTGCTGCCAAGTGCTATGGTGGCTTCACTATGCATCTCTGCAAATAACTCTCTCTCAGGTATGCGAAATCAGGCAGGAGGTAATACAGCTTTTTCTGATAGTCACCCTGGTGGTGATCATTTCCAACAGAGGGCGAAACGTTAGAAAGAGCAACTAAACCGCCAGGAAATACGACTAATGAGCGCCGCTCATCACCATAGCCAGGTGCCTGGTAGCTTATTTTGCCTGACTGTCGTAACTACAATTGTGTTAGCTGCTGACCAAGACGCTACAGATTCACAACGCTCATTCACGTTTGAATGAAATCACTCCACCATTGTTACCGTGGGTTTTTGGTCTTCATGGCTGCTTACGTGACCGTTGGACCGCTGGTTAGATTGATGGAAGGGTAGAACGTGCAAACGGTATCTTCGAGTGACGCGTTATACCAGAACCACCGGGAAGGCAAAACAAAGTCGAAGCTGGGTTTCCATACGGTAAAATTATTGTAAGACATAAATTCGCAAAATATACTAACATTGACGGTGGATACATGTCCATAACAAGCGGTCCACTTGGATTACTGCCTAAATGAGCAAACATGCTATCACATGAGACAGCCATACCTGCATAAAGTTAGCCAAAAATGGCTGCATGACCTGAAGAATAAATGAGTGAATTGGTAGGGACAATCAAACGCCAGTTCATGTACGCGCACCAAACACGTAAATGGAGTGGGGGTTACAATTAGGGACAGATGAAACGTAGGGGGTTTAAAACGTCAAAGTAATGCACGATACAAAAGGTACATGCGTGAGGCTGCCTGGTGGCTACAGAAAATGCCTCCAATGGGAAGTGATATTTACCAAGTGAACCTCGCTGCAAAGCTTTTCCAAATAGTAGACAGGGCTTTTTATCACAGCAATAGCCGCGATACACCAATCGATCTAATGGACACGAGCGATCAGCATCACCACGTAGCAGGCCACGGGGACCAAAAGGGACACCACCTAGGCCAGAGATGTTTGTCCCCCAACAACAGTTTCTAATTGCCCGGGATAATGGTCAAATACCAGCCACGTTTGCACAATTAAATGCTTCAAACTGCCTGTGGCCTTGTGTTCCCTCAACAAATGAAGTTTTCCGACCAGGCTTTCAGGCTGCTTGTACAATCATTCTACTGGTGACAGCTTCGACTTAAGAACCGCAGACAGAGATGCACCTCACTCTGGTATGTCGTATTCGGTGTGCCACCGATGGTAGGCAAAAACTAACCTGAGCAATGCACAGGTGAACAGTCAACCTGCACTAGTGGAATGGATAGACACCGAACATATTGGTGCACAGCTGACAATAGTCATAGTATAATTCAGGAGGTAGATGCACAAGTGACAGGTTCTAATATGGTCGACAGTAACTTACAGCCGCTAATTTTACCAATTATAAAATAAATGCCATGTGAAAAATGTACTAAGTAAAAAACACGCATCGTTTTTGGATAACCCGTGAGAGCTCCTGCCAGAGGGAACATGTTTTCTACATAGTATAGCTGCTATACAGGCTCCCTAGTCGTTCGTAGGCTTGTGGAATTAAGTTGACTTCCTGACCCCTGCGTGCTCGTATGTTCGTGGTGACCGCGTTGTCTTAGTATATACAGGAAGGTTCGGCGTGTATAATACACAAAACCGTTCCAATACGTATGACGGGGGAAATAATTTGTTGGTCTAGGTCGCGTGAGGTAGAGGATGTCGTCGCGTGATTTGTGCGTTTGCGGAACAAACGAGCTGCGCGATCTGGTGGGCACGGTTTCGCCAGAAAAATTGGGAGAAGTTGGTTGAAGGAGCAATAAATTGACCCACACCAATGCCAAAACACACTGCGCACCGTAGCCGCATGAACTGATAGAAGATGCACTTGCAGCTACTAGTTGAGATATTATCTGTTTGGGAAAATTTGGGGCTTGCACAGAAAACTGACGGTTCTTAACGACCTTTTTCTCAAATTGCGTTAGTCAGCCTGATGATACGCCAGTGTTTTTGTGGGTTTGTCAGTTTTCCTGAGAATCTGGTTGGCGGTACATATCGTAATACCGTAAACTACACGAAAAACACACCAACACAGTAGACTACCCCTGTATGCTGTACAACATACTGGTGAGGAAGCCACTGATGGTTAAGCTTCTTGCCAAGACGCGCATAGCAAACGAACCGTAATGCGAAGTCAGACAGCCGCGCTCATGGACTGCTCCGCTTACGAAATCACTTTCTAACAGTGGTTTTTAGTTTCCTGGTAGGCAGTTAAGCGCAACGTTTCACATAGTTTATTCTTTGGCATATCGCGCCTTACTCCCTTCGTCAACTGGTGAACCAGGAACCTAGAAAGGTGGACAGCACTGTGGTCTTAGCGAACGATATCACATTGCTTGCGTGATCGTGGATTAAACACATGCTTTTTTGAGCTTGCCACGACTTGGGTACATACTACCAACTGAGGCCCTCCGATTTTATAACTCGATGGCCCCTTACTCGCAGCACTTAGATTACAAAATTTGCTGATGTATTTAACCTACGTATTATCACTACCTTATTATTATTACTATCCTATTTGACCGGACAAATTACTGCTGTGATACACTAATTATTTTTTAAACAGGTACCTTTCTCTTATTCCTTTCCGGGAGGCGCACCCATCTGAGAGACCGGCGGTGGAGTAGAGCTGCGTGTCCACCAACCTATTGAATCGCCCAGCTTAAATTTAACCCAACTCTGTGCAGCCAGGTATTCTTTCGAGGATCAACAGGTCACCTTATTTGAAGGATTAATTTTGGGTGTCTGTGGATGCCACCCGCATCGAAAGCAACTACTCTGGAAATGTTTTCATTTATTAATAATGTCAAACAGAATTTCGACCGCCTCGACTAGGATTCGTTAGCCACCTCTGTCGAGTACACAAATCGATATCAGGGTACACAAAATAAAGCCAATTAGGTCCAGGAGGTGACGCAAAATAGCCCTTTACAATGGCAAAGTGGGACTATTGCAGGGCCGTTTCAAAAAATACTCTGTGGTCGATGTACACCTCATGGAACCGATAACTGTACAATACCAATCCGATCCCGCCCCTCTCTGATTGCAGTTGACTGTGCAAATGCTGGGTAGGCTGATCTGATTCAGTCGATGTGAACTTGATGCCACAGCAGATCTCGGACACGCGGTCCTAAATCAAAGCCAACAATTATTGCTCAGACCTTTCCAGCAATAGGCCGCCAGAGGTTGGACTTTACAGCAGTGTGGTCGTTTTCATACTCAACTAACTCATTCAACTATGCTATGGGGCATCTTCCAACCTCCATAAGTATTCTTCGATAGTCATTCCATTAAATAGAAGGTTTAGGGGCAGATTCTGTTCCTCTAAGTTATACTGACAGCGTTTCCTTTACGGAAGACGCGTGTAGGCGATGAGTAAACCGTGTGTGTCTTCCAGACTGGTCTTTGCGATAATCTCATTAGGAAGCCATAATCGTTCTCGCTTAGGTTTAAGCGTCTTATCAATATGACGGCCAACATATAATCAAGCAAGCAACTTCTGAATGTATCTTTATGCTACATTGACGGTCCTGTTTTGACGTAACTATATTTGCTTCAAGTAAAGGGGAAGATAGACAGAATAACACAAACTCTGATGCTTGTGTCGTTCCTCCAATTACACCTTACCACTCCTTTTAAATTGATTTCGGCTGAAGACACTGGCAACATACACAAAGGTGGTGCCAGTGGCGTGCTACCTTATGTTCTTCCACTTTATACCCCGCCGTCTTAAATTCGTTCCTCATTCTATGTTACATGCTTTGGCTCATGACATCTTAGGAAACTTACTTAACAACCTGCTTACTCACGCACCATTCCAAAACCCAGTGCACGCGATCCGAAAATAAGTTTAGACGTGTGACAACGTCGTACCAGCCTCTCCTAGTTGAAGACTTCGGGCACTTCTGCGACCGCCATAGGCATATCTCTCACTTGGTGCGCAAAGGTACTCCTTGCTCTTATAAATAACCGTAAAAAGTAGTATTTGTC